CAACAGGAACCACTTTGAGACGTACGAGGAGTGCCGAGCCGCCTGCCTGGGCAGCGCCCGCCCCACCTGCCTGCTGCCCATGGTGCAGGGGCCCTGCCAGAACTGGGAGCCGCGCTGGGCGTACAACCACCTGCTGAAGCAGTGCCACTCCTTCGTCTACGGCGGCTGCGAGGGCAACACCAACAACTTCGAGAGCAAGGAGACGTGTGAGGACGTGTGCCCCTTCCCCAAGAGCCTGCAGTGCAAGGCCTGCCGCCTCAAGAGCAAGATGGTGCTGAGCCTCTGTCGCAGCGACTTTGCCATCGTGGGCCGGCTGATGGAGATCGTGGAGGACCAGGACTCTGGCATTGCCCGCTTTGCCCTCGAGGACGTCCTCAAGGATGAAAAGATGGGCCTCAAGTTCTTCAACATCAAGTACCTGGAGGTGACCTTGACCGACATGGACTGGAGCTGCCCCTGCCCCAACATGACAGCGGAGGACGGGCCACTGATCATCATGGGCGAGGTGCACGACGGCATGGCCACGCTGGACCCCAGCAGCTACGTCCGGGCAGCCAACGACAAGCGTGTGAAGAAGATCTATGAGCTGATGGAGAAGAAAACTTGCGACCTCCTGAACCGCTTCCAGGACTAGGGGAGATCCAGGATGTGCCAACAGGGGGAGCTGCAGACACACCATGGAGGGGGCAGCCCGGGGAAGCCCCTGCATCTGAGGTTACCACCATCATGTAGTTCCCCCCAGCCTCATGCTGAGCCCCAGACCAGCTCCCATCTCCCCTGTAATTTATCTGCTGCATGCCCCCCTCTTGTGTGCCCCCCCGCCTGGCCAGCAGCAATAAGGAACTGGGTTGGGTTGCAGAGGGGTGGGAGGTCTGCCAGGACATCCCTCCTCCCCATAAAAACTTTCCCACCTCATTGAAGCCTCTGGACCCAGTGTAGCATCCCCAGTGCAGAATCTGACCCCCCATTGGTGCCGGGAGTGGGCTGGAGATCCTCCCCCCTCATGTTGGCACTGAAAGCATCAGGGAGCTGCTGGGTCAGGGGGGAGCCAAAGCCACAAAGTTTATTGGGGGGAACAGCACAGTCCTGGGAAAGGGGGAAGGATGATGGGCCCCCTGCCATTAGCACAGCATCCTAGGAGCAAACTGAGCAAGAAGTCTCCCCCATACCCAGGGGTGCTGTGCCCCCGCTCCCACACCTGTGCCCCCCATGCCTGTCCTCCTCTGGTCCAGGCTGTGGCACTCTGCTGCAAAGGGAGAAGGCACTGGGGGAGATGGACCCCCAGCCAGGCCAGCCCCAGCTGGGGCGTGGCACTGACCCATCACTGCTGTCCCCAGATGGCACCTGTGGGGGGACGTTGGGACCCCTCGAGGAGGCAGCAGCGGGGGCAGTGCCAGGAGGTGCTGGAGGTCGGGGCAGTTACAGCTTGCGGAAGATGAGGCTCTTGTTGTTGGCCGGCATGTCCACCTGGGGGCAGAGCCGGGGGTCAGGGGGCGCCCACTGGTCTGGGGACCCCCCCGGACCCCGTCACTGACCATCCTCTCCAGGCGCAGCCCGTTGGCCTCGGCCAGTTCCCGCAGCAGCGCCGTGTCCCGCAGGCCCCAGGCGGGATTCCTGCGGGGAGGGAGGCTGGCTCAGGTCAGACAGATGGACATCGGGGAGGGAGGACCGGGTCAGACAGACAGACATCGTGTCCCGAGGCATCCCCATCTCCCGGGGGTGCCCTGGGGGGCGGGGGCTTCCCCCAGATGCTGCTTATCTTGAAGGACCACACTGGGAGGGAGCTTCCTGCAGCTGCAGGAGCACGGATGGGCAGGACAGACAGCACGAGCAGGACAGACAGGACAGGCCCCCAGCAGCCTGGGACCCCAGCCCCCTCCTACCTCTGCCTCAGGCTGCGGTCAAAGTCCACGTTGCTCTGGGGGCTGATCCGTCCGTCCACGGCGTAGGGCTGGTGGGACAGGGAGCTGGAGCTGCAGGCTGGAGCCATCCTGTGTCCCCCACAAGCGCCCCCTCCATGGGCTGCTGTCCCCACCATGCACAGAAGCCAAGCAGGAAGAGCCGTGGCCCCCAGGAGGCACCATGGGTCCCATCGCCCTCTGCGAGTCCTGTCATCCACCTCAGGTCCTGTCACCCACCTTGGGTCCTGTCACCCACTACAGGTCCCATCACCCTCCACAGCCCCCCCCAGACTCTTCCTTGGATAAGGCAAGGGAGATGAGCATCTTTCCCATCAAAAACTGCCCCATCCAGGGCTCACCATGTGCCCCAAAAGGCAGAGACTCCCTAAACCCAAGCTCTCCCCTTTCCCGCCCCCTCCCCAAGCCATGCCTGGAGCTGCCCTCCCATCTGCCACCCCCCAGCATTCCCAGTGATGCCCTGTGCCCTGCAGATGCTCCCACACCAGGACAGTGACCCACCCCATAGGTGAAGAGCACTCCTCCAGGCTTCAGCAGCACCCCAGCACCCTTGAACAGGCCCTGGGGAATCAGAGAGGTGGGGACCAGGTCAGAGGTCTGGGGAAACCCCCTGGGACCCCCTCCTCGGCCCTGGCACTGTCAGACCAGGGGACAGGGCCTGGGGGAGGGCTGCTCACCTGGGTGCAGCGCAGCTCCGCGATGTGCATCATGTTGATGCTGACAAGGAGGTCGAGGGAGGCGGGCTGGGTGCCCCCCCACGTCTCCCAGCCCTGCGAGACGTCCACCACGATGGGGGGCAGCAGGTTGGGCAGCCCCGTGGCCTCCACGTAGGCAGAGATGCTGTGGGCACCAAACTCCACCTGAGCCCCAGCCGGGCATTGCTTGGTCCTCCCCCCCACTGCATCCCTCCAGCACCCACTGCAGGCACAGGCAGAACTCCTGGATGGTGTCTGAGGAGGTTGTGGGTGCAGCACAGCTGGGGGGTCTTTGCTCCCCCATGGAGAACTGGCAGCACCTGGACAACCAGCAGCACATGGATGGAGAGGCCCCAGGGCCCAACCCCCCATTCCGGAGCAGCCTGTGCTCCTGCCTGCCTGCACCCCCTCGGTACCACTGCCCCAGCACCGCTAGATTCTGGTGTGATTTACACCCTTTTTGGCACATTCACCACCCAGGTCTTGGCTCTGCAGCCTCACAGGGCAGTGGGTGCTGCTGGGTGGGCAGGACACAAACCCCCCTGGACAGGCGCCGATTCCGGCACCTCCCCACAACGTTTATTTTTTTCCATGGGGGAAAGATGGATTTGGGGACTTTTCTGGGAAAAATAAAGTCCTGAGCTGGGGAGCCTGGTTGGATATTGGGATTTACTGAAAAAAAATATAGTGAGTATTGACTTGGGAAGCCTGGGATGGGCAGGAGTTGAATATTGTGGTTTGCCTGGAAAAAATAAAGTGTCAGGCAGGGAAGCCTGGGCTGTCCAAAGGGTCTTTGCTGGAAAAAAATTCCCATCAAGCTCATCTGAGAGCAGGATATTGGAGTTTTCCTGGAAAAAATACAGCACTGAGCAGGAGAGCCTGAGCTGCCAAAGGGTTGGATATTAGATTTTTCCGGGGGGGGGAAAAAAAAATAAAGTGGGGAGCCTGGGCCCACTGTTGAGTGGGTCTGTTCAGGAAAGAATATCTATTTGACAGCTGGATATTGGGGTTTTCCTGGAAAAAAACACAGCACAGAGCAGGAGAGCCTTGGCTACCCCAGAGTTGGAGCTGAGGTTTTTCCTAGAAAAAAATGAAGGGGGGAGCAGGGAACCCGGGCGCG